TGTATTAAATATAATAAGCACAAATATAATTCAATTTACCTGAGAATAAGGAAGCCATGTACAGATTTGAGGCTAACTTCGCAAACGTGAAATAAGTGATCACAGACAACAAATATAAAGTTTTATACTAATTAACGCAAAGATTTTAAACAGTTATAAAAATATTTAGCTTTTACAGGAATGGCACAAATTCTAAAGAGTTCTAAAAAATATTTAGCTTATATAGGAATGGCAGATACTGGCTCCAAGAGGTACCAGCTTGGAGACCGTATCCCAAGGTTGAGGGTTTGGGATCACGTTTTCTTTTACCTAGGATAGGCAAGACTGTCTGCCCATCGCGGCGGCCAACCAAAAATAATTTCAACACGGTGGCCAGTCATCCCAATTGCAACAACACCATTCCAAAATAATAATAGGCTTGTGTGGCCGCCACCAGGCCGTGCACTGCAATACGGAGCACCGTGCACCGCATCGCCTAGCGTGTGCGGCCGCCACCAGGCCGTGCACTGCAATACGGTGCACCGTGCACCGCATCGCCTAGCGTGTGTGGCCGCCACCAGGCCGTGCACTGCAATACCGTGCACCGTGCACCGCATCGCCCAGCGTGTGTGGCCGCCACCAGGCCGTGCACTGCAGTACGGCGCACCGTGCACCGCATTGCCTAGCAACGCTCGTCATGACGCTGTCGTCCACAGTCAAGCTTCACTGCCGCTAGCCATGAACGCGCATCTTAGCAGCGTATGACATCGTGGATAATACTTGGAAATGGTGTTCTAGGTTTATAGTACTGACGATGGAGCTGGATTCCGAAACGTTTTCAATAGAGATATGCTGAATTTGTGTGGAGTTCTATTCGATTTTAAATTTCTAGTGGATCTGCGATTCAAGCATTCTAGTGATATTAATACTTAGGTAATGGTAGCGTCAGAAGCGGCAGCGAACCATGAGCCCTGCTTCTTCATGGTAACATACCGTGAGCCTATGATATCACATGGCGGGATGAACACATGGCGGGATGAACACATGGCGGGATGAACACATGGCGGGATGAACACATGGCGGGATGAACACATGGCGGGATGAACACATGGCGGCATGAACACATGGTGGGATGAACACATGGCGGGATGAACACATGGTGGGATGAACACATGGCGGGATTGGCACATGGCGGCATGAACACATGGCGGGATGAACACATGGTGGGATGAACACATGGTGGGATGAACACATGGTGGGATGAACACATGGTGGGATGAACACATGGTGGGATGAACACATGGTGGGATGAGATGAACACATGGCGGGATGAACACATGGCGGGATGAACACATGGCGGGATGAACACATGGCATGTGCACCCTGTCGATGTGCCGCAACATTTTTGAATTTTTTTTCGTATTATTGTGTTTAGAGAATTTATTCATGTACTGACACGACCCAACATATATATCACATACACATATAGTGACACAGCCTAACATATACTTCACATTTACGTATATATATAGTATAGACACGACCCGTCATTTACATCGCATATTTATATTAACACGTCCAACATGTTCCTCATATATAAACTAACAAACGCAACATCTATATCACTTGTATATATATCGACACCAACATAAGCATGTTGTTAACCAAGTCTAACACTGCACCGTGCACCTAAGCTGCGTCACTATGACAACAGCGGGGACTAGTTTCTTTCAATGGAATTAGCTGAAATAGCTGCCTTGAATTATAATGGAAGTATTTAAGAACAGATAATGGAAGTATGGGAAGCTGTCTTTTTTGAACTGAATTGTAAAGCATTTGTCAAGGTGAACGCGTTAAAAGCTTTTCACGAAGCCGTTCATTCAGAAGGCAAGTCCAATATTGAACATTTGCGAGCAGCAACACGATATTTGGATCGGAAAAAATTCATTCGTAGTCAGAAATCATAATTTTGATGTAAAATTCGAATTAAATAATTTCAATTTTTGCGATGTAGGCAATTGAGCGAGCGATAGATGTTCGACGACAGGTACGCAGGAGCCGCAAGAGTCGTTAACCTCACACGCCAGACGCCGAGGCGGCACTGACCTGGCGCCGGGGCACCTGCCCGAGCTAAGCTTATAGCCATAATTTTCTTCATGAAAAAATATTACTGTGACCGTTGAAATTTTACTATTGCCGTAATATATATTTCATATATTATTTTCCGTGTAGAATTTAGCGTGTACAAATAATTGTTCTCGTTAAAAAAAAGTTCATTATTAAAAAACTCATTGAAGAACTCATTAACAAATTTATTAAAAACGAATTCAAGAAGCCGCTTCGCTTCCATATCAGACTAAATATGAACTTTAACCTTGAAATTTTGACTCTGTCGAAAAATACCAATATTGACCGCCGGTATTTTCATTGATCAATTAATTTTTCTTTTGACCACGGATAGGTTATGATGTTGTGGGCATTTTTGAACACGATCACCGTATGATAATAAAGAACCTACAAGAAAACATAAAAAAATTAACAGTCATATCGGCAATTTTTGAATACTTATTAATAACATAATAATACGCAGCACTGCAGTACTTTAGGAGGTAATTTACTATAAATGCATAATGCGTAGCACAGCACAAGATTATTACTTTTAAAAACGTTGTACGCGTTACCACGACATCTTTACCATGTAAATCACAACGAACATCGAGAGATAAAATGACAACTGTACTTTTAAAGTGAACATAACACAATTAATAAACTTTAAAAATCAACTTTGTGCGAAGGGCGGCCATCTTGAAATTCAACTTCTCTAAAGGAATACATTTTCATGCCAAAATATCTTGGTCGCAGTCAGACGCAATTCTGTCGATATGTTAGCTTAACTGGAGCAGCGATTGGACTTCTTCCATTACATTGTGTTGGAGAATTTCTTCAATAACGCGTATCTTATAGTCAAGAAAATGGCTCTTAAATGATAACATTTATATTTTTTATGTATGATCGTATACCTCACAGGCGTACGAGCACGCTTACATTATGATCATCGAAAGCCTCACAGGCCATCAATAGTGGCTCATAATTTCAAATAATCAAATCGTTCGAGTAAAAAAAAGCATCTGTTGGCCTCTGAGGCCTTAAGCCTCAGAGGCCAACAGACGCAGAAAGCTGACAAGATAGATCTAAAAAATCTTAGCATCTCAAAGAAACGAAGTGACAAGTAGGGACAAGTGACAAGGAGGGACAAGCTACATGAAAGGACAAGTGACAAGGAGGGACAAGCTACATGAAAGGACAAGTGACAAGGAGGGACAGATAAAAAAAGCTGCATTAACGAAGACACTCGTACAAGAGGTCAGAAATTATCAACTTGCAGCAGGTTTGGGAGGCATAGGATCGCCACCGTGCGTCACTTTTCTGCAGCACCAATGCGAAATTAATGTTTCACATTCTGACTCCTTTTCAACCCCGGATTCAACATCATTCAATCATACTCTTCATTGTAGAAACCATGAGAAAATGTACATACACGTATCACAGCTACGTTACATACACGAGATATATCCACGTAGTTAATGTTTGTTAATTTACATAAATTTATAAGATAAAATGTGAGATTATACTTCCCGACTTCCCGATACTATTGGCACGACAGTACAAAAATTGAATGTCTTACCGTATAAGTCGTGCAAATTAATAAAGAATCTTTTACAATGCAACAACAATTTCAATCAAACAAATAAGTAATAAGTCAAAACTGTTTCAATTTTGAAATATGAAGAATTAATACTTACCTTGGATCGGCCTGAAAAAGTCGTTAAAGCTGACACACGTTCTGTCGCATGAAGGAATTAACAGAAAATTTTGTTCATTTAATAACCCGTTCTTACCCGTTGTTCGAGAGCAGATGTAGCACTGATACGCTGGTCCAGGACGGGTCAGGTTGACACACACAAAAACAAAAAATGCATTCGGAGCATCGGTGAAAAATGCATCATGCATACGAGAGCGTCGAACAATAGTGCATCATGCAAGTAGCGGAAATTTTGTGGAAATTTTTGTGGAAAATTTTGTGACTTGTGGAAATGCTGATTTGAGCCTTGCCATGGAATCAGTTTAGTGATAACATGAAAACGAAACTTGTTAGCAATGTCAGTTTTGGTTTCCTTATAGAAGCTTCTAGTATTTTCATTATCAAAAGTTGCGTCAAATTTAAGGTTTTCAAAATGATCAATTTTTAGCATAACTTTTGTTGCCTCAATGGATTCATATTATTAGTATAGATGATGAGACTCTCTTCTCTAAACTTATATATCATCTAATTTTCATCGAATTTTTAAATACCCATTGCCTTTAAACTTTTTATGTACGGATACATCATCGTCGTCAACGCTATCTGCATCCAAATTGAGCCTGGTCACGAGAGTTAACATTAGTGGGCGAAGGGTTAACCACGATAATGAATCAGCATTGAGATCATCAATGACTTGTTATGTGGAAACAAAAAAAGAAGCCTATGAGAGCATGCGAAGCAAAATTTTGCGTAATGCCTGAAGAATTTTTGTATAACGCGTTATGATCTTTCCGAAATACGTAAAGAATTTAAACGAAACGAATAACGAAGTTTAGCGAAATGGGTTTTGCGTTACGTAGTAAGACGGGCCAGTGTGCAGAAAAAATTTCTATTTTGAAAAGCCAACAAAATTTAGCATTCCTTTTCAAATTGTTGGTATATTCTCTCTTCAGCCCGAAATTGCAGGTCAAAAGTGTGTCATGTACTAAACTAAAAAAAGTGTTAGTTGCAGGAGTTCTTCGTGAAATGCAAAAAATTTCCCCAGGACGTCGTTGTGGGGGATCCCTGATAACGAGTTTTGGTGGTAGACGTGTTCCAGCGAATAGTTTGAGAGTTTTAATTTATTTAGTTAACAATTTATAGTCCACTAATAATTGTAATACGAAACTACATATCTACAACTACTAAGAAAAAGTAGTAAAAATGTTTGTAAACTCACAAATATTGGGTTGAACCGCGGGAAAGGTTGTATGGGCTTCGTACAAAGATGGGCTGTCGACTCGGTGAGTCGGGGGTCGACTTTGCCGCGGATTTTGCCTCTCTTGTTCTTCTTGTTGCGAACGAAGATGGCGGCCTGCATCTTAGTCACTTGCAACTACTACCACCACTTGTTCATACTAGTGACTTGTTCACGGTACTGTTGGCACTAGTGACTAGTTCATGGGAGTGTTGGCACTAGTGCATGGCGGTCGGAGTAAATTGTATGGCGGTAAATTTCCAGTGCATGGTTCACGGGACTGTTGGGACTAGTGCCTGGTTCACGGGACTGTTGGCACTAGGGACTTTACAGTTGTATTTGATACAACGAATCTCTCTCTGCCGTCACAACATTCATCAATAGGAATATTCAGTGTAGTTCATATGTTTTCATCAATAATATGTCCACGAAATATAAGTATTCATAAAGACCTATTCACTCTCTAGCTGGATAATATATGAAGTTTTTCTCTCGTTTTATCGGTGAAATAACAGTTTTCGATTTTTTCCATGCTGGATACTGAATAAAACTTTAGTAGCTCGGCTATTAATAAGCAACCGTTCTCCTGTCGCCAGCTACAGCGCTCAGTACAGTTGTCTTCATTTTTAACGATTCAACAACGAATACCTAATTTGAAATAGTTTATGCTCTTGAGCTATTTGTTGAACATGATGACGGGAAGACTTGAATAGGTTGATCGAGTAGTGAACAATTTGCATAGTTAAGCATGCAATTTAGTGTTCCATTGTGACAAATTCGATGGAATTCAAAACAAACACTCACTATTCGGGATACACTTAACAGTTTGAAACATCTAAATACCAGCGACATGAGAACTTCGTTCATGAGAATCAATAATCGCAACAAAAATATGGCACTTCATTGAATCGAGAATATGAAGAGGGCGATTTTTCAGTGATGGGAACCTGAATGAGATTAACTTTCACCGTGTCATTTCAGTAGGAAATATGATCCTTTTCTGTAGCCATCTTCTCTGAATGCCAACAGCAATGCGCTTGAGCTTAACTACATATTGTTTTTTTTTTTTCAGAATATCTTTCTTTCGTACATGTTTCCAGGTATTTAACAAGTAAATTAACGGACAAGTTTTATCTCCATAGAATATTTACACGAGTTTTTAGTCAACATCACTAACGCAGTCGATATTTTTGATGAAATCTCCTATCCATGCATTATGCAATTATTCGCTAAAAGTTTTTCTTCGATAATTCGCTCAGACTATAAACTTATGTCCGTTCATCGTCGTGACTTCTGTGCAATGAATTTCAGTTGATGAAATTCTATTTCACAACGTTTAATTATCTAAATATCAAGTCTCTTAAATTGTTCTATGTTATATTCATATATATTGCACGAGTACGTTTTTGCGTCCGAAATTGTTCCTATTGCGCAAAAATTTCGAGACCAAATTTTTTACATTTCTTATACTAAATATTTTCTTGTTATGCGTTGGTTTTTCCTGTTTATATTATTGGATATTATCTTATGTCAAACATTTCACCGAAGCATTAAATTTTTGCTTAATTGACTAGTCAGAGACACGAACTGTGTTGTTAGGGACACACTTATTGTTATATATAAAGTGTGGGTATTGCGAGGGCTGTGAGGGCTGTGAGGGTGCGGCACGTTGAGGGAAGATGCAAAAGCGAAGTTCCAGGCCTCAAAAGTAGAGCTCCTGTGGACACAGAGCCTGCCATCAGATATGATTATTTTTCGCTAGAAAAACTTCAGGTAAACTCAAGCTGGTATTCAGAAAAATACAAAAATCGAGCAAACAACACATTAAAAATTCCAGCTTCAAAAATCCAAATCAGCTCACGTAAATATTTTGTGCTCCAATTTAAGAGACGATTCTGTTCACATAGAAAATCTCAAGTTAAGCAGTGAGTCGTGACTTCAGTCGAAGATAACAAAAAAAATTAATTTTACAAATTTACGATTCAAAAATACCATCAGTAAAAAATGTGTTCCGCCTAAAACATTTTTTTTACTTTAAAAGTTTCGCTCCACTCAAAATGAAATAAATGACCTGAAGTTAATCGAGTAGATTTTGCTTTCCCATAAAAAAACAGACAGTCAATATGGTGATGATCAAAGACGTCGGAATTCGATTACCGAAAGCACGTGCATATAAAATGTTATGGCAAACTGTGCTCCGTTGAAATTTGTATATAAGTAACATATAACGCGCAATTTGTATATGCATGTAACACATAACTCTCAATTTGTATATATGTAACACATAACGCTCAATCGAACATCGACAAACAAACTCTTCAGTCAATTGGTTAAGGGAAAAAATGTGCAGACATCTGAAGCATCGTCGCTTAACACTCTATTGCCGTTCCGCACGAATTTTTTTATAAAACTTAATACTTTAAATAGAATAGTGGGAATTTAAGGCAGTAAAGTGTTAACATGGAATATTGTTTACGAATAGAAAGTGACATTGACCGTGATAAATGACAAGCCTGGTGGTCAACGATCAGACATTTTAACACACACATCGAGTCAAGAAGGCACGTGGAAGTCTTCTATATTAACAGGCCAATAAAACATAAAAAGACCAAACAAATGATGTATAATGTAAATGTACATCGCACGACATCAATGTAAACCTCGCACGACAGCAATGTGACCACATATAAGATCGAATAACTAACCTTCCATTGAGTGAGACATTACGTTTAAGTTCTTTAATAGACGAAGTTCTGGTAAGGATTTAAAGAATAAGATTACTTACGGTGCCTTCAACGAATAAACACTATCTGAATTTTCCGCGGATTATAGAAGAGAAAGTCAAACGATGCGTCATTGCGCCAAAAGTTATTCCGCATTAAAAAAAAGAAAAAATATTTAAAACTCTATTTTCTGCATCGAAAATAAAATCTATGAAGATCTCTCACCTTACGACGGGAGTTGTGATGACTCGGGCACTTTTTCTTCGGCTGAAGAGAGAAACAAGAAAGCAATTGAACAATCAAGGAAGAAAGGAATATTCTAATTGATAAATTAACATCTGAATTCATTACTATATATCCAGATAAGTGCAAATCTATAAAATTCTGCAGTGCATAAAGTTGTACTTCTTTATTCACTTATAATTCAGTTCATATTGTATTATTAACTTGTGAAGTCGTAAAATAAATAGTGAAAATAGTTCCATTACTTCTCTCCGGCTCATTCGATCTGCGATATTTTTACGGATTACTTCAATAATTTCAAGTAGAGTTTTTCTGGATCAATCATTTCCCTTAAACCTTTGTTGTTTGAGCAATTTGAATTTTTGCGTAATAGTCCGCTTTCATTATCACACGTTCTCTGCCCTTAGTAGCACTAAGAGGAGGGAGAAAAAGTATAGTTATTTTTTTCAGCTAATTCTACTGGTGTGTTATACCACACATAAATCGGGTAGCACACTTATACAAATCACTTTAAAGTTAAAAGTCAACCTTAACATGTAGCTGTCATAGTGAACTATCGATGTTCTTCGAAATCCTTTAGGAAAGTTATTATTGCATCGAACAAAAATATAAGAGTTTCTCGTCGAATCAACATTTTCTGTTAGACAAAAGAGAAAATGTAAATTTGATCGGTATCTCTCGTGTTTAATACTTAACCAAAAACTTCCTCCTATCAGAGTTGTTTTCTATAGATACCCAGCATTATAGTCTCGGATTTTAATTCATAATATCATGGTTTAGAAGTTGAATATTGATGTTGATTCCTTCCTTCAGAGGGCCGGCTATTAAAATATTGAAATCAGATTCCGTAGATTTAACAAATTTTTCTCACAAAATGAATTCATCAAAATTGTTTGGATTGTACTGCATGATTAAATTAATCAACTCTGGATGCCATAGACAAGCCAGCTTTCCGCTAAACATAAATTAGAGAATTACTTGATTGCAGTTACTGCCATGCTTTGCAGCAGTTAATGTGCCTTTGTAGGCACAGAAGCAGCTTTTGCTTGTGCAGTTGTTTTTCATACAATTCCGGCATTGCTGCTGTTGTCACAGCTGTTGCTTGTGCTGCTGCTGTTGTCACAGCTGTTGCTTGTGCTGCTGCTGGTGTCACAGCTGTTGCTTGCGCTGCTGCTGGTGTCACAGCTGTTGCTTGTGCTGCTGCTTGTGCTGCTGCTGTTGTCACAGCTGTTGCTTGTGCTGCTGCTGGTGTCACAGCTGTTGCTTGCGCTGCTGTTATTGTCACAGCTGTTGCTTGTGCTGCTGCTGTTTTCACAATAGCTTGTTGAAACTAACACTTTAGTTGTTTTACTTGTTTACTCATTGTTGTTATTTCATCAGTTCATTTATCAGCACTGAATTCATTCATTTCATCAAGCACTGCAAGTTCTGCACTGCACTGCACTGCGACGCTCGTCATTGCACTGCAAGTTCTGCACTGCACTGCGACGCTCGATATTGCACTGCACGGTGTGCACTGCACTGCGACGCTCGATATTGCACTGCACGGCCTGCACTGCACTGCGACGCTCGATATTGTACTGTATGGTCTGCACTGCACTGATGCACTGCACTGCGACGCTCGATATTGCACTGCACAGTCTGCACTGCACTGCGACGCTCGATATTGCACTGCACAGTCTGCACTGCACTGCGACGCTCGATATTGCACAGCACAGTCTGCACTGCACTGCGACGCTCGATATTGCACAGCACAGTCTGCACTGTAGCGACCCAAATACTCGGCAGTTCTGTACTTCATGTAAATTTCAAGCGCCACACAAGCGGCGACGCCAGGATGCATTCATCAATTACTTGGAGGCGGTCGATGGCTTCTACATCGAGAAGAGAACTCGCAAGGTTATTCTCAATACACTTAGAAAAAAATGTTCCATTCTGTTCAAATAGTGACCCAGTTTCTTCACATAGCACCAACACAACATTTTGGACCAAACTTGACAGATGGCCCACACTGGCGCAGAAAGGGATTCGCTAATTGAGCGAAATTTAAAAAACGATTTCGCACGTATGAAATTTTGCAGTATGTTTTTGTCTCCATTGGTCGTTCTGCCATGAATTGTTTAGAACGAATTTAAATGTTATGTCAAACCAGCGACTAATATATGCGACTATGAGCCTATTAGAAAACTCAGGTGTAAACAAGTT